CTTTTATTCTCGCTGCTTTTGTTATAGATTCTGAATCAAACCTGAAGCTGCTCTCTCGATTTCTGAGCATTACCTTGCCTTGTTTAGATGTTTATCCCTAACACTAGGGGAAAGATTCTGTTCGCTGGTGAGATGATTTCCGAGGAACATTTGGCGTTGCGGTGTAGAGTTTTCAACCAGGTTTAGCTGCGGCTCTCCAGAGGCTTGTCACGTTTGTCGTGTTTATTTGTTAGCGATTGCGTGACGTACCAATTGCAGTTCAAGTGAGATCATTTGTAAAAGCGCCCAGGAATTTTTGTACATTTGAGCAATTGACCGAAGAAACGACCTTCAATTTTTTATTTTATAAAATTTGTCTTTTCTTCTTTTACCTAGTACGTAAACTGATAGTGAAACTTGTTTTAGGAATATTATTAGACTATTCACACCGTAACTGGCTCTTTATTTGGCTTGGAAATGTACCTAAAAGAAATTATTTTTTGCTTAGTTTTAAATTATGAAAAAAAAAAAAAAATTAAAAAACCTTTTTCTCTGAGCTAATAGCTGCAGGTGCAAATCACGTTCATAACTATCTAAAGGTGTAGATGATAACTGAATTTATCATAAAGTAAAAAGCCTCCTTTCAGGCCTGACCTTAGAACAATTACCTCTTTTATGAAAGCTTTTACGCTTTTGGAATTCTGTGACATCAATTCCTTTTAAACGTTTTTCGATATGCACTGTCAAGTGAAATTTGATCCTTACGTACTTTCCCGCCACAACAGTCTCTAAGGAGTTAACGTAATTGTCAGTCTTTCAATATTGCATTTGTACTTTTGTTAATTTTCTTGGAAAAAAAGGAAAAAAAAGCAACTAGATGAGATAACGTTCGCTTTAAGTTGAAAGAAAAACTCCTACGACAAAGTAGCACTGAATTGAAACGAGATTGAAATCTTGAATCAAATAACCTATTCAATATTGCTCATTTTAATAACTTACAGCTGACGTTGACACATCGTTTGGGTTTCAGTGGTAAACACAGCTTTGTTTGCACATTTAGTCTCAGTTTAACTGTTTTCTTTTTTATATTTCAGACTCTAAAGACGAGTTGTGGCGCTTCTGAGTTGAACCTTGCCCCGGAAGAGGTTAAGGTGAGTGGCGACGCTCTATCTGACGGGTTGATAGTAATCAGTGAGGGCTTTCGAGTAAAATTCCAAACTCGTTACTAGTTAGTCATCTCAAACTCAAGGGAACAGTTGTCAATTTGAAAATTAAACCTGGTAAACTTAAGCATTACACAGATCTTTAGTTCGCTCTGGCTGCTTAAAAGCAGCCGACTGATGGTACTTATGCATCATGTGTACATTTTTAAGTTTTCTTTCCAAGCTTTGTCTTCCTTCTGAGCAGAGACATCTGGAGAAAAACACGAAAAGAGAGAAAAGTTTTACCTGGTTTACATTTCCAAATGAAAGAAGACGATTTTTCGATTCTTTCACTCTCCTCTCCAATGTTTCCTAGATACCGGTTTTATTTAACTTTTTTCTTATCCTCTCCAAGGTGCAAAATTGAGAAGTTTACGACACAATGCCATGTGTTCTTCCTTTCCTCGTGCTTAACTCCAACCTGCACCCGATTTTGTGATAGGGACATGTTTGGGCTTCCGTTTGGGAATCGTGTGAAAACCAACACTTATATTTACTTCATTTACGATTGCTGCTACTGCAACAATTTTCTTTTTTGCAACGTTACATTGCACATGCAGCTTCCTTGATCTACATTTTCACTTAGAAAGCGCGAAAATAATCACCGAAAGATGTTTAACTAATCCTGTTGGTCGGTTAATAATGAGTTGAACCAGGATTAGGTGATCTTTTTTTTTTTTTCTCATTTGTATCTGGTTTTTGTCCAGTTGATTGGGAGGGTTATTGGGGTCAATTATGAGGGATTTGTCTTTTTACTTTCATCTCAAACCTACTCTCTTCATATCCTATACACTGATCAAAACCATGAAAATTTTATTAAAGCCACTTGTTGATTTTTTTCGGTTTCTGGCTTGTCTTCTCTGATAAAACACTCGAGACATAATCGAATACATATTTGATGAAAACTGCACGCATCGAAAGAAAAAAATAGATATTCCCAGTTGTCTACGCTTCAACAAGTCGAACCAAATGTTTTAAAAACAAAGCAAGAAAAGCAAAGTAATTCCTCTTAATAAAAAGAATCGCGAAATTATTGTTTAAACTAGCCGGTCGGAATCTTGCCGAGTGCATTGTATAAATATAAAACCCACTCCCACGGGAAGTAATAAATTGTTTCAAGAACCAATCGTTTGAAAGGCTTCAGTATAAACGGTCCAAACAGGTGTTCTGTTGAACTGAATTTTAATTATTTCAGCACAGTTGGTTTATCGGGCTCAAATTTCCTACGAATATTGCGCCGTGTACGGCACGGAACGAAGACCAACTCGGTAACACCTAAAAAGCCGAGGATACTGACCAAACCGAACCTGAGAATTTTCTTGGAAAAACGTCCATCTGAACCCAGAAAGTGTCAAGTGACCCTTTGCCGGTGGGTAAAAACGAATTTTTGAGGGCTTATACTAAACTCGATCATGCGGTCACGCTTTAGTCGTTTCTAAGCATGCTTGCAACTGAACTAAATATATTTTCGGTTTAAAAGGGTTTGCTTAACATTTCGAAACAGGTCTGGCCAAGAATTGCCCACCTTACAGAAAAATATCTTAATATTTGAGTTCATCTCTTGCACAGAAAGTAAATTTTCCCTTCAGGCATATTCTGTCTGTGTATGGAAATATCGTTCAGTATATTCTTTCGTCCTGTCACGGCGAAATTTTATGCTCGCTTTTCACTTGTGAAAGAGTTGTGTTCGAATGTATTATATTTAAATCAGAAAACAATATTTCTTTGAACAGGAAGAACACCACCAAGGGCGGCCTATTGTGATCCTTGTAAAGAATTAAACCAAGATTTTGAGATCGGAAGGGTTGGCTTTTGAATTCATCTAACAACAAAAATTTCCAATTGTTTCTGGGAAAAAACGGACTTAATTACAAAAAAAATCAGTATTAAAAAAGAGAATGAGGAACACAGTTGTGCATCATTTGTGTTACGTAGCTGGCCGTGATTACTCAAACACGAGTAAGACGAAATCGTTAAATTCTGCCTATTATTTTGTATTAATTATGGAGGTCCAACGTGAATTCTAGTAAGGTTTATCGCTATCGTTATGCTTGTAACCACAAGAAAAAGGTTTGGTCACAATTCGCTTTCAATTTTTGTTGTTTCAATGAAGATTACATCGAATGTGGCGCTCTGGAATTTATTAAATATTTAAACCAGACTGTGTTGTAGGGCGATTGAAGCTCCAAAGGCGTGGAAAATGGTATTCTGAATGCAAGGGCCAGAATTACTCTTTACTTGTTTGGATCGAGGTGATTATTCGAGAGATTAATTTAAATTTTCTTTTCATTTCGAGTGTTATGTAGATCGTACCAAATTTTGTGAACACAAAATAGTGCGGTTTTAATTTATTTAAATTTTTATTCACACTTCTCTGCGATTAGTGTCGAGCAGATCACTGACATTGTTTGTTTTGTTTTTTGCCGTTTGTTTTCTCAGTTTTCCGCCGTTTTCTGGTATTTTGCTGAACTTACGCCGTTTTCTGGTGTTTTCGGAAAATCATTTGTAAGTGCAAGTAATAAAAGATAAGCGTATGGCCAGGAAAAAAATTCTACCTGTTAAATATTTTAAATTTCCGAAACTATAACTGGTTATTCTTTTTTTAAAAACCTTAATCTCAAGCTTACTAAAGCCTATTTGACAAAAGAGTGGTAAATTGTCCGCAATACTAGCGCGTCGTTACGAGCAAGTAGTATTCAGGGCATACTGTGCTTTGGAAGGAATGCTTCCATGCTGTTTGCCCTAATCTCGTGGCACAACCAATTAATAGGGCCCGGATAATTCTCATGTAGGGGCCTCGAAATATCGTGATTTCGCCGTGAAAAGGTTTTGTTCTGGAAGAGTGGCACCACGAATGAGGTTTGGTATATTTTAGTTAACTTTGGCCCAAAACTCTACGCTGAATGTTAGCGAATGCGTTTGAAACAAGTCACGAAGGTGCTCATCTTTTAAAACAATGAAAAAGGATTAACAGTTAAATCAAATTTGTTTTTTAGGAAGAAAAAGGAACGGGAAAGTTTTAATAGTGGTCATCATTGGTTTTAATCGCGATTCCACCCAAGTGCTCCGTCCTTCTCGTCTTAACACGTAACGCTCACACCATAAATACACGTCGTTATCTCTAGTGCGCCGGCGGAATTTAAAAATGTACGCTTTGCAGACCTCTTCTTTTTTAACACCCTGGTACGTCTTTAGAAAGCAAGTTAGAAGCCTTGAATTTGCATTAGCTTAGTTATTATGTTATGGGGAATGTTTTGATCAAGGATAAATCCTTGTCTGATAAATGTTCGATTTTTTTTTTATAAGTCGGTTATCACGACCCATACAGCTTTATATCGGTGGCCACCATTTCAACAAAGTATTAAGTCTTCAGCTGAACCTAAATTTAGTTATTTAGGAGAGGATTCTTACTTTAGAAACGGTAGTTCCTTTTCGAAACTCCAATTGTCGCTGCTTGATTCAAATGATAATCAGTCTTCGATGGTTCCAGGCGCCTAATTTTTGACAATACCACGATATAAAAGAGGAGGGGGGAGGGGGATTTTGCATGATGCAAAAGGAAGTGTTTTTAATTTTCGTGACCCGTGAAAATACGAAATTAAAACCCCGTGAATTTTTTGCTTTCCGCAATACGTGAGCCTTAAAGTTGCTCATCCGATTTTTCGTGATGCGTTATGTGCATGAAACGTGCATAGAACCCCCCTTCTTTACCCCTCTGAATAGAGTAAACCGGATAACAAATGAGAACTAATTTGTCTCGAACTTTCGTATCATCTTCTTGTTCTAGAAATGTATGATGTGAGTGGATATTATGGCGATGTAAGAGAGATATGTTGAACCATTCAACGACTTCTTTCACGAAGTACAGCCAAAATAAAAAATGTTAGAGCACGCGATTTTTATAACGCCATCGGCGGTTCTTAGTGAATTCGCAGCTGTGTAAATGTAACCTGTTTAGTAGGGAAGAATTTTAATCAGCATCTTGTTTCCATTTCATTTCGAAAAGAGGAACGGAAAATTTGAAAAGAAAGACCATGTTGACAAGCTTTTGAAGTCTCACATTCATTTAACAAAGTTTTTATTTTGTATTTGATTGTTTTTAGATTAAGAAAAAAAAATGGAGCGCTATCTTATTTTTAGTTAAAATGAATTTCTGGTTCTGTTTCATTATTAGTTGTTATCCAATGGTGAATGAGATTAAAGGAACTAACGTTTTCTTTAATTAGCGCTCCTTTTCTTAGGGAGCTTGTTTTTGTCTTAATGCCGATAGTTTCGAATTGGCTTTCAGCGTGCCAACCGCTGTGGCGATAAATGATACAAACAACAGCGTAATTCAACAAGCTTTGTCTTCAACCCTCGTGGTTTTATTATCAAAGGGCGGCTTTCTATTCAAAGAGCCTGGTTGTCTAATAAAAGCATTGTTGTTGTGCTGTCGAAGACTTACTTTTGTTCATCGGAAAGCATATCGAGTACAGCAAGCATTTCAACCGAACAAATTGTCAGCTCACACTGAAAATACCTGAATCCAGCGACGGGTTGAAACTAGAGTCAGATGAGTGAAACTTCAAATTTTCTCCTTTATTTCTCGGCCATTCAGTGGACCAAGGAGGTAAATTACAATTATAATTACTTGGATTCGTTCCTCAGTCTCAGATTCGAGCGATTTTTAAGCTTTTTCTTGGTTGAACGTGAAGAAATGTGAACCCTCCTTGCAGTATCTACCCATAATGGCTTAAAATGTGACGTTTAGTGTATTCCCTTTTGCAGACGTTCGACTTCGAGGCAGACAGTTGAAACTTTCGCTGCTATTCTGGATGTGTTGTACAACGAGTAGCATCCGCCGTTATGAGTCGTTTAAAGTTACGTTGGGCCCTCACCCGTGTCGCACTTGTCATGTTAATTTTATTAGCTGTGCAGTTTTTCAGCCAGCTAGGATTGCTGACCGCGCACCACCCGAACTGCGAACACATGCAGGTGTTTAAAGAAAGGCTTAGTGTACAAGCGAATCCCGGCATTGAACAGGTTATAGCTGTAAAGAAGGAAGATCCAATCTTCGAAAAACATGAAACTAAACAAGATATTGAAAAAGATATTAAAAATGAACAAAGTAACATGGAGAAAGAGAAACTTATAAGCGAATTAAAGCGTATAGCGGTGGAACTTTCAGAAACTCACCGCGGATTAGCGAATTCTGCAGCGCATTATCATCGAGTCGGGAAGAGCCTTCAATCTTTAAACAGTGTCATTCAATCTATGGGTGGACAAGCCGTGGACGATAATGAACCTTCTCTTCGACGTAAAAAGGCAGACGCACCAAAGAAGGAAGTTTGCCCTGAGACGTTTCTGGGCAGAAATCTAGCATATGGATATCCTTATTTTAGAAAAGGTTTCGGTCGAGTAAACTGTACAGAATTTGTTCCGATGAATAAACTTGTGACAATTCTCGTTACGTTACCAGAGGAACTACCGCCAAAAGATAAGTATAAAGTTCTTGAAAGCATCGCAAAACTCTATCCAGCCGTACATGTTGTGTATGCATCACAAGGGGAACTCTCCAAGGACATCATGACAAAACTGAAATTGAATATGAAGCACCACGTCTCTGCCAATTTAAACCATGGGGAGACATGGTCTGAGTTACTAAACGAGGTGAACACGCCCTATGTCCTTTTTGCCCCAGAGATAACGCACTTTACGGATGACATTAATCTTGAGCGATTAATCAGAGTACTTAGCGACAACAAGGAGGCGATTATCGCCGGGGGGAGCCATCGTAATCTTCAGGGAGAGTGGGATATTGGCTGTCTTCAAGTGACGTTCAGGAATTGGACAGCTTACTTTAGGGGTGGATATTACCACTCTTTCACGGAGTGCGTGGTGTGTGATGTACTCTCTGGTCCGTTTGTGGCAAAAACCAAGCAACTTAAGCAAGTTGCATTTGATGACAAGTGAGTAACAGCTGCGTAGTCTTTTTTTTTAATAGACTGAAGGACAAATTTGGTTGAGTTCGGCGGTTGAACTCAGAAAGAAGCCTGATTAATCTGTTCTTCTCTCATGAGAAATTAATTACATCCTGCTACAATTTTTTTTAATGGTGACGTTCGAATGACGATGACCAAAGAAAATTCTATAGGCTATCATTGCAACATTAAAAACTGCTCTTAAGTTTGATTACAAAAAAGGGAGAAACAAAATTCGAGACAGTTTGCCTAGGAAGACAGCACATTCGGGGACAAACTTAAAAACTTTGAAATTGTTTGAGCAAAATCAGGTTTTGCAGCTTGAGGAGTTGAATGAACGAAGGATGCTGGTGTGGGTTTTTCATTGACTTAAAATTAGGGGTCTCTTTGTCACATCATTAACAGCCGCTCATGGAAAAATTTATTGAAACTTGTGCTTAATAGCTTACACGGAGAAGTACATGTAGAAACAATACACTTTTTCAGAGCGGGGTCTCATATCGGGACACACTTTACAGTTCTTACCGAGCACGATTAATTTTTATTGTCCCCTTATTTACAATGCATTGGTTTTGTTATATTTAAAAATTTCCATTTACGCCACCCATGAGAATTTAGACGACTTTCTAGGATTGCCAACTTTTGACAGTCTTTTGTGGTCTGTTTTCTAGGCTACCTTTCGGCGTCTTCCAGGATTTATTCTGGCGTTTGAAGATGAGCCACCCTGGTGAGATCGTGGTTAGTTGCCCAGATATCATGTTTAACATCTACAATCGGGAAATCACAGACGATAAATACGCCGCCTTGGCTAAGAAGTGGGAAGTGAAAAAATGGGTGGAATCAAATGGTAGAGTCCGCTGGTATGGTTGCAGGCGCGGGCATTCCTACACCAGCTCGTCGTCGTGTAGTTTTCGCAGAGGGTTTGGTGTTCCACCATGTGATCTGGAAAACCTAGCTGATGCTATCAAGTTTGTTATGAAAGCGTGTGAAGAGGCTGGCTTGTTTTGCGAGCTTCAAGAAGGAACGCTACTAGGTAAACAACTTTTCACACAAGGCAGGTTTTGTGCAATTATAATTGTAGTATAGCTGGTGTCGTTATTTATTTCAGTATTTCTTGGCTTACGGAAGTTTCATTCTAAGTAGGACCGGTTTCACGTTTGGAATAATCTCACCTCGTGCTATTCTGTGGCTCGTTTTTATAGTTAAATCCGACCAAGATGCATAGCGCTTCAACCCAGTTGAAACTCCGTTTATAAAACCGCAAATTTTGATTCTGTCGTCACTTGCTTCTCCATCTTGTTGCTTCTTGACTTGACAGTAGTGCTTTTGATTGCTTGTTCGCGTTCTGAAAACACAAACTATCATCATCAGAAAAAAGAACGTAGGTGAAGTGAAGTAGTCTCTCGAAGCTCTTAAACATACCGGCCTAAGAAAAAGTTTCGAAATACATCCGAGATTGCTTTGGTTTTGCTTTTCTACGCTTAGTAATTGGCCAGAAACCTCGTACCACTCTCCCAACCAATCAGATCCCAAACTAAAACCATTGACGACGTGGTCATCCGCGTTTTCCCACGCTTTCGGTAGTTTCTTTTGATTGGCTGTTGAATAACATCATGACTGAACCTAGAGTAGAAAATAAACTGAGATATACTCTGCAAGAATATAATCGCAATAGTGGTGACTGGCGAGACCAAATTCCTTGAGTTACAGTATTTTAGTATTTTTGACAGCTGTGTTCTTTATCCCCTTTATAGGTGCAGTCAAATTCAACAAAGTCTTACCATGGGAACGCGACGCCGACATAACCTTTCTCACTGCGAACTACTCGGCGTTTAAGAAGCTCCGTCCAAAGTTTCAAGCAGCTGGTTATAGCCTTAGTGACGATGACGGCTCTTTGTGGTGCTGCGCAGACGGTCGGCAAGCTGGAGGCAAGTTTAGAATAGGCACAACCCGCTGGACGCTAGAACTCTATGGCCAACATCTTATGGAATCCGAGACTCTAGTAGCGAACGGTCTGCGGCCAACAAAAGTACAGTTCTCCGGCCAATGGGTGACTGTAATGCGCAATCCGGGACTTTTTGCTCGTAATCGATACGGACCCGGTATATACCGTCACCAGGAGCACTGGATGGATATTGGACACGGAACCGGATGGGCCTTTTACAACCCGGGCGCCTTTACAACATGTGCACAACCGGGTCATTCCGGTTGTCTAGACAAGTTCTCTGCCGATGGTAACCTACAGTTTAGCGATTACCCGTTTGCTTGATTTGTGACACAAGTGCTCAATTTACCACCTTTTCAACTTCTTTTAAAATGGCGCACAACAGCGCCACCAAAACGCCGTTTTGTCGAGATCTTGTGTCACAAACCGTGGGGGAGCATGAAAAGTCTTTACTGGATGCTCAATTAACTCATTCGTTACCCCCAAAAGAGACAGGTTCGTGAGCTGATAAGTGGGAAGTTTGTTATGAAGGGTGATTCGTTCTAGGAGAAGATAAGAAATCTAGATATGCCCAAGGAACCTTTTGTCGTCGTTACTTATGACTACAGTTGGTTCGCTATCTGATCCTTCGTGGCTCTTGCTTTGAAAACCGAGTTAAATCCATCCCCCCCCCCCCCAGTCCCACGGTTAGAAATGTAGATGCTAGCGCGCAGCGCGGGACTCTGGTAACAAGCGCACACAAAGCAGGCGACTTTTCGTGTGCCTCACTCTCAAGGGTGAGCGCGGCGCACTAACATCCCTTTTTTTTTAATATGCGCGACAGACAAGGAAGGACTGCTTGTAGTCTACCGAAGAGCTGTCCGTAAGTCTTCAAAAAATATTCTTAATATCACAGACGATTTTCTAACCGTTCCGTTCAAGTGTATACGAATTATCAATTTAAATAGGTTTTGAAATTTCTTAAAATTGTTGTCACTTGACTGAGTGAAATCATTTGGGAATTGGAACATAGGAGAAAAAACTCTAATTATCTCTGAGGGTCATAAATTTATTATTCTGTTTGAAACATCTCCAAGAAGGATATGCCTAGTTCTATGAATAGATTTTAATTGCCTTTTACGAAATTATAAATCTTTATGATCTGAAAGTGTTCGATTAGCTTTTTTCTAAATGGGATCTTAACTCAATCTAGAATTTATCCGCCGATTGTGGCATGTACAGGTATATTTTCACTTGCCAAACTCTGGTAAAAAGTTAAAGGATAAAAAGATACTGTAATGATTCATTAATCTGAACGAAGAGACGTATTTTAAAGGATACTAACAATCTTTCGTGGCCTGTTCAAGAAACATTTATCTAGAAGTGAAGTATTTTTTTAAGAGAACAATTAACTTTGTTCCCAATGTTGTAAAACACTTTTGAACACCTGTCGTCAATAATAAAGAAATGAAAAAACCATTCAACATACATTTCCGCTACATTCTCACACTCTGGAAGAGTACAGCGAATTCTTTCCATCACAAATTCTTTGTAACGTTGTGGATCTTCCACCCAGAGCGTCGCAGGAATAAAAGCTCCTCCGCCAGCCTGTTTGTATCTGGAGAACTTCGGGGTAGAGCTTGGCCCAGATGATACTGTCAGTTCTCCGTTTTTCCCTATTCTGGGTTACAAGAAAATCAATTAAATAAGGTTGAACCAAATAACGCGCACTGAAAATAATAGGGACGAGAGAGGTGTGAGATCGCGGAATCTGGATACTTTCATTTCTCTCCAATATAGATCGAGAAAAGACAGTATCTTGCTTCTCTCCGATTTTTAAATAAGCGTGTATCAGTTTTCAGTCCAACAAGCCTTAACAAAATAGTAACAGTAAAGCAAGAGAACAGTAACATACCCTTCAATCCTGGCTATTTTGCAATATCGGAGTAAACCATGCAGCTGTGCATTTAGAAAGCAATAATATATCCTTAATACTTACCCTTTGATTTGAACAGCCTTTATATGAATTTTTTATAGGTCCATCACTGCAAAATGCGAAAGCACGTGCGGTGTTTTTAGATGAGTTTTGCAGTTACAGACAAGCCCCTCTCGTGGTTGTAGACGAAAATTTCACTCTCATTAGTCGGTGTGGTTAAACTGCAACCCTTGTTTCCGAAATGCAGTCAATAGAGACACTTCAGCAAGGTTTTCCACCGATGTGATTTCTTTATTTTCATCTTCATGCCGCTCTTGTTGCAAATTTCCCGGATGCGATACCTGAAGATGTGAGAGCCAAGTAAAAATGCCTCTTTAATCTGTTGGTGACGTTGGTATCTCGCGCGCTTTTAATATTCCCTTCACTGAATTGCTACGCATCGATCTCGTGCACTTTTAGGATTCTCAAACGATGAAACATGAACAGGATGTAATATACTAAAATTGCTTGACTAACAATGTATTACTTTGGAAATCTGCAGCCTTCGGGGGTTGAGTAAATCAGTCTTTTTGATGGCTGATTTAACTCATTTCCTAATATGTTTTAACTAATACTATCGAGAAATGTCTTAACACTGTCACTACTGAGTGTATTTGTCGTCATAGAAGGTTATTTGTGGAGTTAGACGTCAACTTGAGTGGAAGTATATGATATCAAACCCCTATTACCCCCTTCCCTGCCCCCCCGAATTTTTCATTCTTAATGAGGGCACATCATTGTCGTCCGGGGGAGGGGGTTGGAGGATTTTGGTCACGTCATAATAAAATACATCTGATTTCCTTGTTAGCGACGACTGATTACCCTCTGTTCTCCCTGAAAACCATGTCAATGCCTCCGTGATCATCAGTCCCCTACCCCTACCCCCGCCTTAAATGGTAACTTTTCCCTTGGACGAGATAACAATAAAAAAAGTAGTCTCCTTTTTCAAAACAACCCCACCCCGCCGTTTTGATCAAAGCATAGTGATAATCTCGTCTGCTTTGAATAAGGACCGCTTGAAACAGCCTGTACGGAAAGGCGGAAACTGAAATTGTTTTGACGACCTCCAATCATAGAACAAGTCTCAAGTTATGTATTCGTTAGGAAACACATCCTTTCGGATAATTTTTTGAGTGTTGTCGGAGAGATGTCGCCCGTTGTCAAAAGAATATTCATATGAATTAAAGATAAGTTCGTCCGTAAATTAAACTTTTCCTACATCGGACAGTTAAGGATATTGAACTCTGAGGACAGTAAAATACAATCTACAAGTATAAACGATCCGGCGATCCTTTTTCTCATGGAAAGAAACAGCTGCACTTTTGTAAAACATCTATCTGTATAAATGATTTAATAGTCATACCAATGAGTTTTATGATCATTTCTGTCTCGAAAGCACTTTTGCGTTTATCCATATTCACCTCGTCTTTGACTCGCTTTTTTGAAAAGTATTTTTGAAATATTCGAACAAATTCGAGGAATGGCTAATTATTATTTAGTCCTGTGCATTGATCAGTTAGAGCACAGCCCCAACTGTAAGTGAAAACATTGTTTGTCTTTCTAGAACAACGAGAGACATTTATCTTCACCGTCAAGTCGCCAGAATATGACGATGAAGTGAAACACCTCGTCTCGTTGGCGAATTACAACAACAGGAATCAAAATGTTTTGAATTCCAATGAGCCGACAAGCACAGGCTACGTGACTTTAAGCTGTGATTAAGTTACTTTTACATGAAATCCCGAAATTAGCTCAGACAAGCCAATATTTTGAAAACTCACGAAACACATAACCGAAATTTGCGATCCCTAATCAGAATTAATTTCGTTTTCCTTAATTGACGTCTTCTGATGAATGCACCAGTGGAAGCTTTCAAGGCTGCTCAAGTGTCAGCTGACAAAAGCGTATATACGTTTGTGTATAAATGTAGCACAAGGGCAATATTAAATGCAATCAATTACCTCATATATAACTTTGCCAGAAAACTATATTTTTCCGCAGAGAGAGACGTTCACGCAAAATGAAGTCCAAAAAATTACATTTTATTGGGTACATCATTCAAGATTACATCAAACAATTAAAAAGTCCCAATCTGCGAAGAGAACTATATATAAAAATACGTGAGGTTACTCTATTTACACTGTATTTCGATCAATGTACTTGATTTCATATCTTCTTGTCGATCATGGTACAAAAACGTGGCAATTTTTTGGTCTATTTTTGTATTTCACGAATATCAATCCTTTTGCTGGGGCAAAAAAGCATATCAATACAAACGTCAAAGCTGGCCCACTCGGGGTGGTTCTTTAAAAATAGAATACCTTTGAAAAGCATTTTTGGAACAAAGATGAAACAATTGCATGAATGACATCATACCTTTTGATAAAAGTCCATCCAAGATACTCACGGGAATGGTTTCTCTGCCTATTGTAATAATTACTAGTTTAATCTTTGACTCAGAATTGCGTAGTGATGACTTCTGAAAAAGAATCATTTTCATTTTTGAGTTTATTTTGATTACGTTGTTTCTCACTCTCGCAGAGAGCCTTTCAGTGACCGCGAAATAAGGGCGCAGTAATTAAAACTTTCAGCAGGAATGGTTTTTGTTTGCCTTAGATTGTTTACTTAAAATTTTCCTTTCCGGAGAAACTTAACAGCGTCACTTTCTCTCCAATGGTTTGTTCATATGTCTCCTTAACTTGAGAAAAAAGTGGATCGTATCTACGGCTTTGCAAAATTTATCAAAAGAGTTTTTTTTAGGATGAGCCGCAAGAAATTTTCCCGACGCAAAGATTAAACATATGCTTTCATTCTCAGAGATGTAAATTTAAATGGTGATAAACAAACTGCTGGAAATGCGTGATTATAAAAGAATGAATATTTTGCTCCCTAATAAAAATTAGAAATCATTTCCATGCATGAAATTACCAAATAAAACGCATATTTTATTACCCGTGCTCGATTAATTTCTAGCAGTTTCTCCTGTGATAGTGGAGCGAACCACAATAAAACCAACAAATTTGCACTTATGTCAAAAATAAGTGATCCTAATATTGTACACCATCTTGATAATATCCACATCTTTTCACTCAATGGAGCTTCTTTTCGTTGCAACCGTTACAAATGTCCCCGTCTCGCTTTGCGATGACTGTCTCTTAGCTCTCACATTCAGTCTAACATGACCACAAGGCAGAGAACCTCTCGCTAGACGAGCTCTTTGTGTTCCAAGAAATAATTCCAACAAAGCGCGCCGAAATCGCCTTTGAAGAAGACCATAAATAAAGGGATCTATGGCACTCTTTAGAAAGGCAATCCACCTTAAAGAAATTGTAACAGTATGACTTAGCGACAGGCTGTTGTCTCTGAGCTCAAGGATGCGAAGCGTTGTATATGGTGCCAAACAGCACAAAAACGCACCAATAACAAACAGAATTTTCCTCGCTGCTTTGAATTCTCGCTGACGACTTGACTCAGTGGATATGGGTCCGCGAACAGGCGCGAGATGTATTGCGGTAATAACAGCATGTCCGATCCTGCGAGAGTGCAGCTTTGCCACGTTGAAAATTTTGTAGTAAGTCACCAACATAACAAAGAGCGAAACACCAGCATTCGCTGCATAAGTAGCTGCTGTGAACACCAGGAAGTTAATGTCCTGAAGGTCGGATGGAAACGTACAGAAGAAATATCGAGTATTGAATTCGTACCAACCATACCCTACTGGTATGAGAGAGAATATTATGGATTGCAGCCAAACGAAAGATATCATAGCTAACGCACATTGAATGGTCATTTTGGCTCTGTATTGCAGAGGCTTGCAAACTGCAATATAGCGGTCCGCGGATATTGTGGCGAGTGTTAATACGGCTGCGAGCCCTAACACCATATTCCAAAACGCACTGGTTTGACACCAGAAGTTACCAAAGGGCCATTTATTGGCCACAACTGCTCCAAAAGAATACGGCATGGCGAAAACAGCCATGAAGAAATCGCAAATTGCGAGATTCACGATAAACACACTGGAGATGTGTCGCCGGAGTTCCTTGCTTCTATAAACCACTAAACAAACCAGGAAATTCATTACCAAAGCGGCAAGAGTCATCAGGAATAAAGACATCGCGAAAGCGAAAACTTCCACATTTGTTAAGAAACCCATTTGTGGCGTAATTGAGTGCGCCTTTTAAATACTAATCCTTGTTGTCGGTTTTTTTTTTTCAAGTTATCGAGGCGGTGCAGCAGCAGATAACCTCGGAGAGTCCAATGTTTCTGCAGCTGCTTGATCAAATGAAAAGAAGCGACAGAATTGTATGACGCCGATGCCGCCAGAATCTTTTCGTGTCTCCTTGACACGCTCTTCCTTTTATGTGCGTTACTTGCAGAAAAACAACGGTTAAAAACGGGCCATTTAGAGCCCAATTACAAAACCATGCGCTCTGTTAGAAACCTTCATCATTCACTAAATAACGAGTGTTCCATTGCGGTGGGAAAAAAATCATTCAGATTTCCATGTTATGTGACATATTTCTTCAGTAAACAGAACTAAAGAAATCCTATTGGACGAAAGAAAAAAGAGTGACGGTCAATTTGGTTACCGAGCTATAGGGTTTGAAGTTTTTCTATACTGTCCTTTTTAATTAGCAAAGACTTCAAACTATAGGTTAAAACTGGGCTGAAGAGATTTGCATAACAATACGCAACACGGGACAATATGTAGTTATTACGATGTGGCGTTTGTTAAGAATGAAAAATCCCCGTAAGACGAAAAGGTGCCAATTCATTACGAGCACGTACATAGCTATCCTAGAAATATATAATAATTATTTCTCCCTAGGCATTTCTCGCCTTTTTAGCTCTAATTTTGATATTTCAAGTAAACATTTATGGCAGATGATTAAAATGAAAACAAAATGTGTAAAACATATCGGACGGATAAATAATTCAATCTTTATCTTATTTCACCTTCCTCGCGCGAAACCTTCTGAACACGGCGAGGAGAATGCTGGATGGTACCTGAAAAAACATGAATTTAACCGAACTTTATCGTCGTATTTTTGTTTACAAAAACGTCTAAAGTTTCCTCTTTTGTGAAAGAAAAAAAATGTACTTTATCGCTAAACGATTTTCTTACCTGTAGGAATATCAACTTGTTATTACGTGTCAATGAACGAGAGAGCATATATGTTTCGCCAAACTACAAATTGTAAAGCCGTTGGTTGTGCAATGAAGTCTGTTACATCCGCGAGCAGGAATACGTTCCTGTCTCCCTCAGCGCGCGCTTTCAACGAAAGATGTTTTCAGCTTAAAATTTAATGTATGTTTTTATTGTTTTGAAAGTTTAAATCACCAGGTGCTAGTTTTTCACATGCAAATTGTACAAGGAAAATCCCCAGACGAGGATGCCAATGTTTACAAAGAAAAAAATACTGATAAAAAGGAATTGTTGTTTTATGTATCAAGAATTTAACGCGCACGTTGGCTTAGTGATGGGATTATAAATTCAATGATTGAGCTTTTGGGGGTCAAATTTCCGATGAAATAACTTTAAAAGTAACACGAATCTTTTTTTTTCGTTCATCCGTACGTGCAGTGATGCAGTCCAATTTTATTACCATTTTTATCTGGCGTGGCAAATATTGGCATAAGGTAAATGATGCTTTTAGCCTCGCTCGCTCATATAGATCTACTCATGATACCTGCCTCTACGGTCACTCAGAACTTACGGCGCTCTTTCGCTTAAATGTAATCCGCAATCAATTAGCGAGGGATGAGCAACCGAACAAATTAAGTAAAAAAATCGCCAAGAGGAAAATTTTTCATCGCAATAAGTTGTTCTCATGCGAAAGTAACTTATTAACGGTAATTCTAAGTTCGAAAAATTGGTTAATGGGCTACGCAAGCTCGCGTGAAAACATCGGTAACTTAACCACGTTTCAAAGGTACAGTGAAGTCGATTTTTCGCCTCTACTTTCAAACGCATTTCTACTCTCCAACAATTTCTTTTTTAGCATGCCTACATTTTTAAGAATGATGTAAAAGTAGGTTCTCGTAAGTCGAGCACTAATAGGCGCCGATGATAATCGTGTTGTAAACTCGATTTCTAAATATGATCCGAATATAATGAAAAACTGACGACTTTTTCCGAGGAAACAACATAATGAATGACAGTTTATTGCCTTTGTCCACTTTTTAATGAACGGACAAGCTAACTGACCTCTACAACAATTATGAACTATTTTTAAAAATCGCAGTAATTTTTCATGTCTTTCAATTCAGAATTAAAAAGGTTCATGTTCATAGTTGCGTTTCCGGTTCAGTGTTTTTATCGCTTGTTCACGGCCATTTTTTCTAAACAATTTTCAGATCATAATTTGTTTTTCTTTCACAACGTAATTTTGGCCATAACTTAATTTCTCATCGGTCCTCCATCAAGAGACCAGTCGGTATTTATGAGGGGGAGGGGTGGTGGTCAGGTGCTGGTGGGAGATTTTACTTGAGATCACATGGAGAAATGTGTGAAACTGAGTGTTTCTTTTGCGCCATTTATTCCCTCTCTTCTTAGCTTTCACTTGATAATGAAAATGGAACTTTTCTTAGAATATGACCATTATTTATACCTAATAAATACAACAATTCCCGAGTTTACAAGGATATCGTATTCCCAAGGTGAGAGAATCAGTGATCTGATTTCGCTAATTTTGTGGGCATTAGGGTGGTGATTTCAGACCAAAACCTCCTCTAAAGAGTCAAGTACCTCCTCCCTTAGGCCTAATTCAAATAGGTTCGCAAGGGTGGTATCAAACTTTCGGGAGAGGGGAGTAGAGCGAGTGGTGACGTAGCTGGTACAAATAATGCAGTTAGCAGCTGCACTTCTAATTCTTAAAACGATGGCAGTGTAAGCACTATATGCCCCTATTGTTGGTATAACAAGGTGGACGTGCTCCATGTAAGTAAATGTCTGTACGAAAGCAAGCAATGTAATTTTTTCCCAGCACGTCAAAGAAAAAAAAATAAGAATTTGTTATGTTTGCTCAGAGCAGTTTCATGCAAGTAGTGCCCAATTTATTCTGACAATATTTTCGCACCTCAGCTATTTGTGATTCCTTTTTTTTTTTTCTGAAGGGCCACAATTTGAGAAATACATGAAACAAATTTGGAAGATAATTTTGTGGTTTGATTGCCTCACGAAGCCTATTCCTAATAAGTGATTTTTTGCATCCTTTGACCTCTGCCTTTCCTTGGGATTCCTCACTTACAATTTCAATTTGTATTACTACCAATCATTTAATAACAATAATTTAGGCAATTTTATGATCTGTCTAAATTTTGGAAGAATCTGGGAAACTGATAATTCCTCTAAGAGTTCTAAACTCTCAACAGGGCTCAAAATTACCTAACCCTTCATGAACAACCTGAAGAGGGAGATTTTCCAATTTATAAAACTTTCTTTGCCTTCTAGGTTTAGGGGAAGGAACCCTTTCACAGGTTAAAGTCAGTTTTATCTGGACTAGACTGATGGGAAAGGGAAAGTGTCCTAGGAAAGAAAAATTCAAGAGTTATTTGCATTTTCTTTGTTTTTCACACTCTGATTGTTATAAAAAAATGATTACAGTACAGTGGAACCTCGATTTAACGAAGTGCCAAGGGACTAGGGAAGTTGGTTTGTTATATCAAAGGTTTGTTTTATTAAGGTTCTGTGCCATACCTTTTACTGTAACTTTAGCCAGGCTGAAACTCAGGTATCATACATTTTACCAATGACTTCGTTATATCACAGGCGGCCCAAGCTCTCTTTGAGAACCACACAAGGAACACAATTTGCATATCGATTTATAAGGATTTGTATGGGATTTTCTACAAGATATCCATAGAGATAGTTAAAAGGGAAAATATTAAATAAAAATGGCTTACCTTATTCCATACGTGAGTTGCTTGCTCCTGGTGTCGTTATTTTACCGATTTCACTTGATTTAAGCGTTTTTTTTTTTTAATCCTGGTTTTCTCTTCTTAAAAAGAGAGAACCAGGATTAAAAACAACCGCTTAAATCAAATGAAATTGGTAAAATAACGACACCAGAAGCAAGCAACACACGTATGGAATAAGGTAAGCCATTTTTATTTAATATTTCCACTTTTAACTATCTCTATGGATATCTTGTAGAAAATCCCCTACAAATCCTTATAAATCAATATGTAAATGTGGTTCCTTGTGTGGTTCTCAAAGAGAGCTTGGGCCACCTGTGGTTATATAGAGGTTCATTAAATGGAGGTTCCACTGTAGAAAAGAATGGTGAATTGAAAATTAGATGTTCCCTTTACCAAAAGTTTGAAATTATGTTTTCTTTCACTTTCACAGTTTTAACTTGGAGTCTTCTCTTTCAGACCTCACTCAAAAATGCACATGCTTACTTTGGCTTCTCAACAATAAAAAATACACCTGATGTTTTCAAAAATTTTTTTCCTATTGGACCCCTTGAAGAGTAACAACAATCTTTCTTGAACCTCCATGATTCCTGTGCTCACACAGCCAAATTCCCTGCCATGTTCCAAGATTCAATTTTCCATTTGTTATTGGAATTGTTATACTTGGTCCTATAAGAGCTGTTTTGACATGTCCTATTGATAATAGAAATATCACACGAAGTCAGAGATTACTAATGGGTATTCGTCTGGAGTTTTGTCTGTCTAAGAGCATTTAGCCTTATTTACATGAGGCAAGGAATTCTATCATGCTTGGAAAACTTTCTAACTATGAAAACTTTATTCCATGGATATGGTTGGAGCTGATAAATTATTTTTTTGGTGCAGAGTGTGGCAATTGAGGTGTCGGGATACAGTTTTTCCTAGCTTTGGCCAATTCTCCCCCTTTACATACAACTGAAGAATTTTTACATAAATGTAGATCAAAGGATTTAAGCTTGAAAGCACAATGATGAACAAGTTTGTCTTGTCAAGTTGACTAAGTCAAAATTTCTTAATTGAGAAAAATTGCAATTTGCCAATGCCAATCAATACAATTAACAAACTGTAATTGATTGCCAATAATGAATTTACTGATTTTCTGATCATCAATTGGTTCACACCCTGTTTACAGCAGTAATCACAGAAAATTGCAGGAACTGAAGGAAAAAGCTTAGAATTGCTTACATGTGACATAGTAGATACTTCTATCATGTAAATTAATAACATGTCTAGTTGACTGAGTCGACATTTCTTAATTGAGAAAAATTGCAATTTATACCCATTGGCATATCAGATCTCTTACTCGATTATTGGTGCAACTAATTAGCCCCCCAAACCACCCCCCAGTCACCCTAGATCTTTTGTAACTCCCCCTCCATCTCTTCCCCTACCCTTCCTGGCCAGACTAAGACAGGAAGGGCAGTTTGTCAAGTTGCGGAATTCTAACCTGGCATATCATCAGGTCCCTCAAGGGTGTGTTTATACGGTGGACCACTCTCTGGAACCAGACGATTAAGCATCATCTCCATATCTTTTCGAACTGAGGAATCCCAACATTCATTCACGCATATGCTTGCAGAAGTATGTTGCAACAGTAAATGAGCCAGTCCGATCTTGTACTTCTTTAGTTCTGGTATACTTTCTATTTCGTCCGTTATGATGTGAATTCCACGGGATTTTGGCTTTACATTAACCACTGTTTGAAACCATACCGTTGGTCCGCTGACGGCCATGTTTTTCCGTGTTGTGATAGAAAATGCGCGGTTACACAGCACTACCTCACCGAAGAAACTGACACATGAAATTGTAGCAAATTTATCGCTAACAAACCACAGGAAAGCTGGTAATCTGCTCATTTTGAGTTCTTGTACCATACATGTACATGTTTTGGTGATATTTACCCACATCACAGATAATTTCCAAAAACAAGAACAGCTTCAAGAGCAAGATCTGTTTCCGTTTACGAAAACCGCTGGACGGAAGACATTCTTGGCGGTAAATTCATTAATTCCACGCGCGAATGATCTGAGGCATTCCGAGCGAATGGTTTTGAACTTGCTTCGTCTTCGAGGATCGATTTTACATCTCTGCCGCTGTTTTTCAACTGGTAAATCGGCAATGGAAGCTGGAAAACGAGCTGCAGCGAGATATGCTGTTGACACATATGTGAAGGTAAAGACAGCCTAAAGTTTGACGCAAATTCGCATGTCATGTGATAATCAAGTTGTTGAGAGGCTACACACAATAGTCTTTTTGAGCTCTCAGTCATCGAGAGTATAGTATAAAAGATGCATAGGTTTATCCCTAATGCACGACCCTGAAGGATTTTTCCATCATCTGTAAAAAAGCTGCTGTCCCAGCACTACAGTCGTGCAGATGGTGAGGTTTGCAAGAGGTGCTCTATTTATGATGCATTGGTAAACTTTATTTATCACAATTCGCTGGGAGTAAAGAAGCTTTTGCAAGTTCCTTGGCTCAAAGTGCTTATTAAGTGATAAATACCGTCAAAGCACAACAAAAGCTTAGACAGTCTCCCCACACCTAGTCAAATGAGAACACTTTTGAGTTGACCACAGGTAGAGGTCTATAGGTGGTTTGCAACCAATCTCTAGAGACACCGGTAACAATGGTGAAAGGAACAAATGCTGGTGGACGAACAAAAGAAGCTAATGAGATATCCATTGTTTGCGTCCACCAATATGGCGGCCATGGCGGCCATGACGTAACATGCAAACCACCTATACAGTGCAGGGTGTGGTGCATCTAAATTATTGATGATGGGGGGAAGGGGGTGAGGAAGCTAGAGCATGAGAATCACCTGTCAGTGATACCTTGCTCTCTCATCTGTAGCAGCCTAATGACCCCCTTGTCCAGCCCTTTAGCCAGTCATATTGCAGCATTTGTGTTAGAACAGTGGAAGATTTCTTTGAATCATTACTGGTTAAAGATTGAACACTGTCACCCTTATGTTGTCATTCATAACATTCTTCAGGTAACAACTCATAATAATTGGGGTTTTGTGAGTCCATAATCTAAATAATTACTGCTATTCAATTAGGTTTTATTTGTTGAAAATTCAATGTTTTGTAGGATAATCAAGCCCTTGGAATAGGCTCTGGATCAACAATAGTGTATGCAGTTGAACGTATAGGCAAGTTAGAAAATCCTCTGCTTTGGTAATTGTAAAATTTTCAGGTGAAAATTTTTTTTAACCAAATGGTCGCACAGTTACATGAGAGTAAAATGAGATGAATTGATGGTTCTACTTGTGTTTGACCTACATGTAGAAGTGCTTATCATAAAAAAAAAACATGTGTGAGTATTCTAACAGTGGAATATGAACTTCCCCTATGAGTTGTACAAAAATATTGTTACCCTTTACATTATTGTAACTTAGGTTACCACCAGCAAAAAGCCCTTTTTTAAAAGGTGTTTAGAGTATTAGCCCTTGCTTGCAGTTCACACTCAAATACAAGGCAATTTGGAAAGAGATTCTATTATCTATGTAGTGCTTTCAATAAGCACCAACAGCCGATGAAAAGCATTGGCTACTTTGCTCAGAGAAGTCGGCTACATTTTCCCTAAATTTAAATAATTAAAGAAAGATTCTTTGAAAACTAAATTAAAATTCATTTTGATGGGCTTTTATGAACTTTTTACCCGAATTTCAAAATTAAATAATTATCAAAGATCGGACGGGACTCATTGGTCATGGCACTCGACTTGTTTTGGGGTGATGTTAGGATGCAAGAGGTTTACGAAAAATTTAACTGCATGCAAAGGATGTAATCTAATTACCGTCATTTGTTTATTGTGTTCAGGAGTTCATTGTGGCCTGATAAATTGAACCTTGAATGAAAGCTGCATTTTCTTGAATGACAATTACTACGTTTGCATGTTTCATGGTATTACAAAAAGAACAGAACAAAAACAAATCGGATGCTCATTTAAGCATTTTAACATTTTTTTCCACTCGCATTTGAAGTCTGAGTTAAAAGCTGCAGCTAATTGATCGTATCATGGTTTCTGGTGCCTGTCTGGTGGGTGTCCTGGTGGGTAGGCAGAGAAGCTTGGAATGTTTTTTACCTGCGAACTGTTTATGGGTTCGCGGGAAAAAAAACAAAGACAAATGGATGAAAGATTAAAAATGCAACTGGATGCTTTCTTACCAGTAGTAAGTGGTTCTGTTTAGCTCCATTTTTTTTAGTGAAAGTGACCTTAAACTTCCAGGAAATGCATGCAAACTTCCATTTTCAGCTTATTAGTATTGTAAAAATTTAAAAAAATGTTGCTGTTGATAGGGAGTTTTCCTTTATCTTTTGCACTCAATGTGGTCTCCAGAACTCCAAAAATGGCATTTCAGAGCTTCCAGATGTCAAAATTTTCTGGGGGGGGGGGCATGCCCCCAGACCCCTTTAGATTAAGGGGCCTGACAGCCCCTTTGTTGGAACAGTTGGTTACTCTCACTAACCAGCTGCCTACTTGAAATTTTATTGAAACCCCTGTCTGTGACAGAAAAAACAGTCAACCCTTTATCTCTCATGAGTGACCAAGATACAATTTCTTCTTACAATATCGTTACAGTATCAAGTAGACAAGTTAGTGTCAGTTTTCTTCTGATTTTTTTTCTTTTAATTGAAGAAATATTGTTGGGCTGGGAATGGGTACTTAACAAATTGCATTTCCTGAGCTTTCCAGTTTCATCTCTTGATACCTCTTTCTCATGATTGGCTAGGTGGATGTTATGAGTTAACTAACTTTGACTAGTAACAGGGCTGTGGTTTAGCAGCACCTGGTGGCCCCTTGTCACCTTACTTTTGCTCTTGGGTGACTCAGGAATCTTAGTTTTTTTTTTTTTTAATAAAAAGCACATGCTGGGCACCCTGGATTTCACAGTTTCAGAGCACAGGGTTCTCTTCAACTTTTTCTTTTTCACAGCCTTGAGTAATGAAAGTTAAAAGTCATCTTCATATAATCCTTTACACCCTAATCTCAGAATGGAAGTTCTCCTTACTGTTCTCTATACATTTGCTGTTGTGCTCACAAGGAGAATCTGTCCAACAGTCAAGAGCTTCTTGAGTTTGCAATCATTTCCTTTATTCTTGTGGCCCTAATGTTTGATTCAGGGGTGATGCTGTTAGGAGAATTGAGATGGTTATCAGCCTTGGGAGTAAAAGGGAAGATTTCAAAAGAAATCGATTTTAGTTTTTTGGGGGGGATAGGTTGTGTTCAGGGAGTGGTTTGAGAGAGGGGTTTGACCTGTTAAAGTCTCTCTGTTTTCATAGAAAAAAACTGTGATTTTGTTTTCATTTTCAGCTGAAAGAGTGAAGGATGAAAAGTTGCATTTACTCTGTGTTCCATCATCATTCCAAGTAAGTGATAGCTCAATTTACTCCAAATTGTCAATTATTATTGTATAACATAATTTTGTGTTTTTTTCTTTGTAGTGGGATGTAAACAATTTCATGCTTACAAAGGAATTTTTTTTTTCCTGTGGACTCGGCAGACCTCAAGAGCAACTAGCATCTAATTTTTCCTTACCTTACCACTCAATCAAACATTACATCTCAAGAATAAAGGAAATCATCACCAACTAATAAGAGAAACTGTTGATTTTTTAAATAAATTTTCCTTGTCAGTTCCTTTGTAAATGTATAGAGAACAGTATGGAGAATAAATATATCTTATTAACCAAGCGCAAGGGCCGTACTGGGAGAATATCGGCCTGAGGTCTTGACAGTACGCACCGAGCGCAGCGAGATCCGTACAAAAAAGACCAAGGGCCAATATTCTTCCAGTACAGTCCTGAGCATGCTTGGCTAATAAGAGATTTATTATACGACTGAAGTTCAAAGGGACACGAGTGCAGTATCATTTGGGACCATTCAGGACAGTGGCCGGTCTAATGCTGAGAGAATATTGACCGGCAATAGAGCATTTTGATCGGTTGATTTTAGTTATTGGCCCTCTGACAGCCTGAGTCATGTAATAATTATATGTACTGATGTTAGGGTGTAAAAGCATAATACGGTATTCTAATCATCGTCATCATCATCTTTACTTAAACACGGTGAAATACATTAGGCATTAACAATTTTATATAAAAGCTACAACTAATTATGAAAAACTATGTATACTTTGTATGCTATGTATAAACTATGTATATTAGTCTAATTTAAAATATTGTTAATTATTACAGAAGGTAAATTAAATTAAAGCCTGTTTTACATGAATACCGTGTCGAAATTAATTAACAATCGTCAGAAATTAGCCAGAGATGTTGCTTGCCTAGCTGTAACCAGAGGTGGTTACTCTCATCTGTTTGGCTGTCTTAGTGGACCTTTCCAATCTTTTATGATTTATCCTTTTGTTATCAATGGTTCTTTTGTAAGTAGGTAGTTAGGTCCATAAAAAACATCTCTTACCATCTTGCCCACATACTCCTGGTCAATAATACACCAAGAACTTTGATCTGTGCCATAACAAACTTAAATCATGTAACCACAACATTTTGAGGTAGATTTAAGATTTGTGACTGATAGTAAATTCAGGTTTATAAGAATTGTATTTGTGCAATGACTTAAATTGATTCATTTTAAACTCAACACCATTGTCTTTTAGGCCCAGCAGCTGATCATACAACACAAGCTGACGCTCAGTGATCTCGATAGAACCCCCGAGGTAACTGGAATGAGGAATTTGTGTCAAAATGTTTTGTAATGATCGGTACTCTTCTGTTCCATGTCAAAAGTACTGGGCCTTTGGTTTGTCACATTTTATTTACCAACAGATGAAAATACTTTCAACTGAGATGTATGAGAAAAAAATATAGAGAATAACAATAATCTTAAGTTTGAAATTAGACATTACTGAGTACGTTCTACTCAAAACAAGTTAAGGATAAGTCAATGTTTTATCCTTTGTTCCACTTTGTTCATCAACATTATGAATTATTGTATTTTTTAAGTCAGTAAATTACTGAAGTTTTTAAGTAAGTGAAATCCTTGATTTACCACCCCCCCTTGAATGAGGACCCACTCTGAATACCTAATTTCTAAGTACCCTCCTATCTGCGGACAGCTGGAGTGCCCTTGGGTAATACACTGAAGGTTCTCTCCCTTACCTCTCTCTTATTCTCCTTTTCCCACTATTCTGCTCTGATCCTTCCCCACCGACTCCCCTACCCTGTTTCCTCACTCCTTCATCCTCCTTCCCCACTCCCCTATCCCTGTCAACCCCATTTCCCTCTTATCCCTCCCACCACTCTTCTATTCTCTTTCCCTTCACTCCTGAACTCCCCCCCCCCACCCATTTCTTTGTACTCCTCTCCATACCTGACCCTTTTGCCCCTACCCAAAGGCAAAGTCTTATTTGCATCCACTCAAAAGATTGAAAATCATATCCACAACTTTGAAAGAGGTCTGTGGTAAACAGCAGTGGTAGTAACACTGGCTTTCTGTGATGATAGTTAGACATTGCTATTGATGGAGCTGACGATGTGTACAGTGACTTAACTGCCATTAAAGGAGGAGGGTATGTTAAAAGCTGCAGCCATCCGTGAGATTTTGTCTATCAAATATCTCATTTTCAACATTCAAAACAGTTTATTTACTCAGTCTATTGTTCATCTTGTATGTTCTAAAACAGTTTATCTTGAGTCTCTAATTAACCACTGTTTAAGTGTGTTATGTAGATATTATCCACAATTATTATATGGCTGTGTCTCACAAGGACTGGGCACTACTGAATTCACAAATTTGATAGCCTGAAATCAATATTGAAAGTGGTCTAGATTTTCCCATCTAGACTGTCATCTAGACCGGTCTAGAAAAAAAAGGTACAAAGAATATAAAAAATTGGCATATAAGACACAGCCATATAATAAACATCTTATTACCTGAGCTAGGTCAGTCTGTATGGGAGAATCTTAACCTTGGTCGCTGCAGGTACAGACCTCACTGCATTTGGTCTGTACTGGCAACCTCAGTCAAGATTCTCCCATACAGACCTTCCGCTTGGTAAATAAGAACTAAGTAATACATTTGAACCTTCTCGAGAGGTGTCCATTGAGGGAACACATGTGGATATACTCAGTAGAGAAGCATGTGCATTTGATGTACTTCATTTAGGAGGGAAAAAGAACTCTATGGACTCCTTCAAGCACAGCAGAAATCAGGAGATCAGCACCAGTCACTGATTAGGCAATTTTGCTCCCTAAAGGAGCCTTAGTTTGCATAATGTGCTTGTTGCTTATTCTTTTTATGGAAAAGTTTTCAAGGATATAATACTGTGTTTGACAGAGAGGTTACAAGAGCTTGTCATTAATTAATTTTTGTTGTTGTTTTTTCTAGAGGCTGCTTGACTCAAGAGAAGATAGTAGCATCTTGTGCTAAACAATTTATTATCATTGCAGATGACAGGTCAGAGACAAGATTCAATGGCATTTTCACAAGCTTTCTTACTTTATTTCTTACGTGAAGCTTTCAAAATTTGGCTAAGCTGACTGTACCTTTCAATGAAGCTATGTTTCCTCCACTCTTCACTTCGTATGATTTCAAATTACCAGTAATTTTAATCAATTCCTGATTTTTTGTTTCATTAATTTGAAAGCTGAAGCAGGAATCTTTAAAAAATTTTGACCATGATTCCAAAACCCGTATCAAATATTCTTGAAATACCCTCATGCTCTGCTCTCAATGTTGAATCATCTGCAAGCATTGAGATTTTCTTTTGACCAACATTCAAAGGGAGGAAGGGGCATCTGGAGCTGGAGTCCCGGTGTTTTAAGAATGATGATGAGGATTGTACACTTAAGATAGACTACAAAGATAGGATTGAGAAGAGATACAAGAATGTCCTAAGATGTTGAAATTGTTTATTTTTTTTCTTCTCATCTTAGAAAAGATTCTGAGCACCTTGGTGAAGCAGTAAGTACATTTTTTTTATATCAATATGTTTTTGATCAAGGGCCAGCTAGATTTTTTAATTCGGTATGGAATAAAAAATTGATCAATTATTGAACTGATAAACAGCGGATACTATATTGGCAATGAAAGTGATTGTAAAAAAGTTACTGTAATGAACACGAGCACAGTATTGTTGTCACAGAGCAGAGTGTGTCTGTCTTTTAAAATTTCAGTTCAAGAAGGGAATTCCAGTTGAAGTGATCCCCATGGCATATGTACCTGTTATGAAAAAAATAGACAAACTTGGGCTTAAACCAATTCTAAGAATGGCACAAGCTAAAGCTGTAAGTACGTCTATTTCAGACAAATAAATGATTTCTTTTCATCAATTTTGTTTGATAACCATCAGAACGGAAGTTCATCGATATCTCTTCGTTTGAGGTGACACATAGCACCCCCTTCTTCCCCTCCTCCCCCCCCCCCCCGCTAAGAAGAGAAGGGGTAGGAGCATTCTGTGAAATTCAAAGAAAAGCTGGAAAGTTCTACAGTGTTTGGGTTGACAATTTTAGAACACATCTGCAGATGTCCTGTTCTGCGGCAAGCAAGCGTCTTGGTCAGCGCATGTCCGTAGAGACCCTATTTTAGTACAATTATGCATTGTCCCTTGAGATGTCACTCAACGCTCTCCCCCCCCACCCCTCTCGAAAGAAAGAAAGACAAGAGTATTGAATGACATCCAAAAGAATGGTAGCCCGGGGTGACCTTTTGAGAGAATATCTGCATTTGTCTCGTTCAACAGCTACAAAGCATTTCGGCTAGGTCGCAGAGCCGCCGGCCATTTCTAAGTAAAATTGTTACCTTCTATACAATGCAGTATGCTCCCACATGTTATTTCATCATAGCCGGATACGTGTATGCTCTGTATTTGCACACAATGACATACAGGATATCCAGTTACTCTACTTATCAATTTTGGCGCTTTTAAATCTCAACAGGGTCCTGTAGTGACTGATAATAGCAACTTCATCATTGATTGCCAGTTTGACAAGGTAAGGTTTTAAACTCAGTGTATCACTCTTAGTTGTAATGTGTCAGTCATTTGTTGTGTGAAACCATAGGCACAACTGTAAAACCTCAAGTGCAAAGAAACCAAGTGTGGAAGTTGAGAGCTTAGCGGCCCTGCAATCAAATTAGTGCAAAACAAATAGTGATGTCTGCTAGTCTTCACTGATGTAACAGTCTGTGTATCTTTTTATAATTAGTTTTTATAACCGGAACTACATTCTCCAACATGTTTGAAAAACTCGTCCTCCTTCAAAGTGAGAAAAAAATTAATTCTACATTAGGCTGAGGGCAGGGCCCTTATTATGGCCGCCTCGGTACGAACGTTTCTTCGCCTGTGGGAAGGTATGACGCCTTTAGAAACAAGAGTCGGCTAGAGGTCTACAAAGGATCAAGCATAGATTATTAGTGCCAGACCCCCAGCATGCAACAAACCTCTTCCATCATCTCAAATCCTCCTACGAGCAGAGAAACTTGTGTCCTACAGCACTGATAATGAGGGTTAACTTGCATGTCAGCTCTAAACATCTTCCATATTTTCCATCACGACATCTTTTATCACACAGCCAAAGTAAAGCGCGTGCTCTGATTGGTCAATTCATTGTCCACCATTTGCCAATGGGTGTACGCTGCTCACCTAAGCAGATATAAAGTCTAGTTTCCGCGCGCTTGTTTTTTCTGGTCACCTAAGATTTCAGTGTTAAATGAAAGGGAACTCTTTTGTGACAATTTATCAATGTTAGGCTATAGAAATAAATGGTAAACACTACAGCGTACACTATTGAGATATGGATGCGCTTGGGAGGTTTGCTGAGCACTCAAGAAGCTAAAGTCGCTCTCGGCTGTCGCCTCGAGCGACTCTTACGCTTCTTTCGTGCTTAACAACTACCTGCGTGCATCCATAACTTAATAATGAGCGCTGTGGTGTTTACCATTCGTCAATTCCTTGGAAGTAGACCAAAAGTGACCGAGGCGTTTATCACTTCTGTCTTTGATAAACAGATTGATAGTGTCAAAGAGCAAGGCAACATGCTATTGACAGAAGGTTGAGTTATGAGCTATTCCTTGTGTTGCTTTTAGGTCTATGACTGGAAAAGTCTAAACACGCAATTGAACCTAATACCAGGTTAGGAATCTTTCGTACTATACGTTTCTTTCTAACTCGAAACTTTGGTTGGGTAAAGCGAAGAATGTATAACTAAGATATCCGAAGATATCTTTATCACGTTGTCTTGCCAGCTGCCCGTTTTATGATGTCTCGCATGGATGTTCGAGGTATTACCTTGCGAGTTCCATCGAAGGCAGTGCAACACGCGATGTCGCGTTGGTCTGTTTTCCTATTTTTCTAATTTCTCCCCAACTTTTTCAAATTCTAGGAGTGGTAGAGACAGGGCTGTTTGTTGGTATGGCGGAATGTGCCATATTTGGAAAACCGGATGGCACGATTACCAAAAGATAGCTCGACATCATGTATCTCAAACACACTCGCTGGACAACACCACGCACTCCCCATAAGGAGAAACGTATTTTTTCGTCGACGTAGAGTACTTTTGTTTGTTATAAGACAAAGTCTGAATTTTTCATAATACTGTGACATGTAGAGCAATTTAATTTGCTGATTAGTATTTTTTAGCCTTCAATGCTGGTAGCTTTTGGACGCTAGATGAAAACGGACAGTGGAGCTCTGGAAACTACCGAGCTTCGAGAGAAATCCCCTCGAAGGTCCGCCGCACGTTTTTGCGGTTCGGCCGCCAGGCACATCAAAGGGCAGACGAAACTTGAAGTTAGGCAAGCTTTGAACTTTTATCAGAAGAAAAGTGGTTTAAAAGCATGCGCTTTCTAAGTTGAGAGTAACTTATTTTCGAATGTATTTTTGATGTCAGCGCTTCTGGCCGGAAAAAGCGATGGTAAAGGCAGTGTTTATTTAGCAAAGAAAGAGATATTTAAAAGGAAGCCTAAACTTGATTACATGCTTAATGGTAGACATTAAAAAGAAAAAAAAACAACGGATAAAAGATTAAAAATAATCGTTTCATGTTATGAATGCATCAAACTCACGAATCAGTATGCCGTATGTCTAAGGTTCACTTTGGGATTCAGTCATTTTTCCCTTGCTACGTTCATCTCAAGTGAATAAACATTTTTCTGCATTCGTCGAGTAAGCTCAAAATTTAGCACCTTTCTTCACCTCGGTAAAGCTATAGCCCTGCCTGCTGGGTGCTTGTCTTATGTATTATGTAATGGAAATTAAACCAAGAGGAGTGCAATCTGTTTTGAAATCATATTCGTGATTTGAAATCTTAACTAGGATTTCAGATCGAAATTGCGAAGTTCGATTGCTGGGTGCTTGTCTTATGTATTATGTAATGGAAATTAAACCAAGTGGAGCGCAATCTGTTCCGAAATCATATTCGTAATTTGAAATGTTAAGTATGGTTTCAGACCGAAATTGCGAAGTTTGATTGCCAATTTATTATATTCATTTTAGAATCACAAAATTTAATTGCCCAAATTCAGGATGATTTCGTCGTTATTCAGAAACGGTAAAAGTTTAAAGAAAAATAAAAGAAAAAATGGATAGCAAATGCTGGCAAAATTCACCACGCAATATAAAATAAGCCTTGAAATCTGATTGATTGTTCTACTTTAAATGTTGTTTTCTCGTTGGCTGGGAAAAAGTTGCGATTAAGAGCAAAAATGAGTGCAATTAAGTCATGAATACATCTCACTGCTGAGAGCATATGGGATCGCGAGGATGACAAATGATTTCAAAATTAATGTTATTAAAATTATAGCCATGACCAAACTCGCCAACGAGTTCTTTCGAAGCTCAGTTGATAGAAGGCACGTCCACGAAATTAGAAACCAGAGTATTAATCATAGCATGCGAGCAGGTCCTTATTGCTCTGGCGTGAGTGTTTGTTCCCCTTACTGAGCAACGCGAGCCTGCTAGACATCTACAAGGAACGTATTTAATAATGATGATGATGATGATGATAATAATAATAATAATAATAATAATAATAATAATAATGATAGTAAGGTAGGAAACCGCGTGAGAAATTACGGTGTTTGTATGAGAATCAAACGTCGATTAACTTTTGGAAAAAGTCCATTTAAAAGCAATAAGTTACAAGGTAATGAATCTTCTAACAAAATTTGATGGTCTCACCTGCGAGTGACGGACCATTAGAAATAGTGACCTTACGCAATGACGACGTCGCCTAGGTCGACGTCGTAGGTGACTAAAATTATACGTTTGCGCATGCGTGCATAATTTACCTAATTATTTCTCGACGTCGCCAACGCACGCCGTCGCCAAATTGGTGGGTTTGGAGTCGTCGTAGAGGAAAAACATGGCAGCCGAAGGAAAGCTAGGGAAAGACGCTCAAACTGCTAAGAAAAGGTGAGCTTTCTAATCGATGACATAATCCTTTTTGAGTGATTTAAGCGAGCTTTGCAAAAATTGCCGTGATGTCACGATTAGCGTGTATGTATTTACAGGGAAAGTTGAGCAGTTTAAGCTTACCTATTGT